CAAACAGACTCTATATTTTGCGGTGCGCATATTTTCTAAGATGTATTATTGATTATGGTAGTAATAATATTCAACTCCTGAGCTGTCTATATAACGGTCTATTCTAGAAGACTGGAAGTTATTTATGATCCTGACATCTTGTTCTTTTTTTGAATGAAGACTGTTCCCTTTGAATAACTCTAAAATATTCTGCTTTCTTTTTCTGGTTATAAATCCTTACCATTTTTATAGTTTATTATTGCATTATAGTATCTTCTGTTGTTGAATTTAGACTTTAGAAGCGTTCAAGGTGGCGAATACAAGAAAAAACGATAGTAATATGGAGTCATTTGCTCCGCCACCGCCACCTGTTCTCGTTCGTGGATTAACTAACAGAGAGCAAGAGATGTCAGAAATGGTATCGGCTTTGGCCCATGTGGTGGCCGGTAATGCGACTGAAGAAGCAGCGCAGAGCCGGGAAGATGCCTCGGGTGGCTGTGGCGGTGGCGGTGCTAATCCTTCTGCATCTTCATGGGATGTTGGAGATAAGAGGTTGTGCGAAGAGCAAAACACTAAGCAGTTCTCTGAATCATTTGCCAGCGTTTACAGGTCACAGAGTGATGTTTCCTCTGGATCAGGTATATGAAAGTTTGCACTTTATCTCGTCTAAAAGTTTATTTTATTTAAAATTTCAGCTTCAACACTATTTTTCTGCAATTGAACTGTAGCAGCAGCAGAAGCAGTATATACATACACTACTCCTACATATAATGGCCTTGGTCATGGGGGAAGAAACAGAAGATACCGAGGAGTGAGACGGAGGCCATGGGGCAAATGGGCAGCTGAAATTAGAGATCCATACAAGGCTACTAGGGTTTGGCTGGGAACATTCAATACTGCTGAGGATGCTGCTCGAGCTTATGATGAAGCTGCCCTCAGATTTAGAGGCAACAAAGCCAAACTCAATTTTCCAGAAAACGTTACTCGCCTCGTTATTCCTTCTTCGTCTTCAGCTGAACCTATTCTTCATGCTCAACCTCACCATCAACTGCAGAATCCTACAGAGAGATTGTTGACATCGACATTTCAGCTTCCGTCGATTTCTTCAGAGAGCGTGCCATGTTTTCCTCCCTTGTTCCCAGCACAGCTGCCTGAGAATATCAGGTTCGGCGACAGTCATCAGAATTCTTCCGGATGATTAGTGTACTTATTCATGCTTTTTGGTAATATAATTCGACTGCAGAATTTCCAATCAGAAAATAAGTATTCCTTTGCACTGACGATAAAGAGTAGCCACTGCAGCAAAGTGGAGTTCTTTCGCCATCACTTGCGATCTCAAAACTTTAAGTTCTTCATGAGAAAGTTCTTTTGTGAAAGGCTGCATTTCAATTTTCTGTAAGACCGTGTTCGGCTAAGCTTAATAATTATAATTTTAAACTATATTTACTTATAAGTCAAAACACAAGTTTTGAAATGAATAAATTCTATATTGGTGAAAAGTAAAAGAGAATAGATAGAATTACTTTATTATATGTTTAGTAAAAATTAACGGTGCGTTTGATTACATGCACGAAACTTGCATGGAAAGAAAATAAATTATTCTTAATACTTATTTGCATGTAAATTATTAATTA